CTATTATTAGTACAGTGATCCAAATTTTAAGAAAAATAAAAGACTTTACTACTGGGAAAAGAAAAGGGGGGAATTGATCTGAGGAAACACCAACCCAACAGCCCCCCCCCCTTGGGATGCTCACCAGATGATCCATATCAAAGGGTGGTAACTCCGTTGCAATGGAATGAGAAAGAACAGAATGGGCCATCTCTGGTATCCCTTGTCCTTGAGATAAGAGAGGAGCTGAAATCACTGAGCCATAAAAGACAAAGGAGCTGCAAATTGGCCCAGGCTTGAAGGACAAGGTGTATGTTACCACAGGACTGAAGAAAGAAGAAGATAAGATTGTAGAAGAAGCCAGGAGGCGTGCCGAAGGTGTTGAAACCGGTAGCTGTGTGGAGAAAAGGGGGTTTGAAAGTTAAACAATTTGGTGAGCCTGGACGGAGCTGCGACTCCTCGGCCACCCCAGCACTGCATTTGGTCTCTTACCTTGATAAAGATTCATTAATCCATATTTGGATGTGATTTTCCTTAATCTACCTATAACAGCAGTGATGCAGAGAAGAGCTGCATGATGGATTTAATAGTGCAAAGCCTTCCAAGGAGAGGCTTCCTCCATCCCACGGATGTGGAAGTTGGGGACGTGATGGTGGGCTGTGAGCAGCGAGTGTGGGCAGTGATACTGGAGAGCGGAGGGCGCTTTCTTCTCTCAGCAAGAAACCTAATGAGATCAGATGCCTAGAAGCAGAAGCTGGACAAACTCAGATTAGAAATCAGGTGCAGTGTTTGAAGTGAGGTTAATTAACTGTTGGAATAATTTAGCTGTGGTGAATTTACTGCCACTTGAAGTCTTCAGATCAAGCTAAAGTTACGTGACCTGATGCAGAGATTTCTGGGTGAGGGCTGAGGGACTGAATTCAGACTCTAAACCCCATTATTTCCCTCTGGCCCGTTTCTTTAGGCTCACCCTGAGGAGGCAGGGACTGGCCGTTGAGATGGAGCGGGAGGCCACCAGCCCAGCACCACCTCCTGTGGAGGGTGAATGAAGGAATCCTGCGACAGCAATGTGTTAATATGATTAATGACAAAACTTAATTTGCATGGACAGTTCATTCCTGCACAAAGGAGCTCTGGCAAATTAAAGGCTTCGCGGCAGGCGGGGCGGGGGGGGGTGCCTCGTCGGGGATCACTCTGAGGGCCAGGCTGGCTCCGGCGGGGAACAATGAGAGGGGTTCGGCGGAGAAACTGGTGCACGTTGTACAGAGGAGATTTAATGAGATTCCCGGGTAGTGACAAAAGTTGGAAGTGTTTAATATCTCGCCGCTGAATTATGCATGCGGCCTGGGCCGGGGGCAGCTCCGCCGGGCTGTGGGGCTAGAGCGGGCGGAGGCGGCGGGCTGCCGCCAGGGGGCAGCAGCGCCACGCCGCAGGGCCGGCGGCCGCCCGCCGCCTTCAGGGAGGCCGGGCCCGCGCCGCCGCCTCGGCGCGCTTCGGAAACAACGAAAATAAAGTTACTGCCCACGGGCAAAACGATTTCCCCACGCACACCCGCGGCCTCTAAACTGCTGTGGGACTGCCAGGCCGGGCCGAGGAGTGTCACTTTTCATGTATCGGCTGTACCGTGAGGGGCAGCGCCTGCCCACCAGCCTGCGGGCCAGGGGCGAACTGTGGGATAAAGGGGCTTTTGGAGGGATATCACGAAATATACGTCCTGTTTATAGTCATATAGCCCCGGTGTGGGCGGTCTGCGTTAGTTCGCTGGTGTGTAACAGGTGGAACTGGCCAAGCAGGTGTTGGCTCTAGCTCGTCTCTTGATTTTTGTCTATTTCCCCTCAAACTCAAACAGTGGCACTTTTCAAACACACACAGTGAACAGACTAGATCTCTTTTTTAAACTCTGCTAAGAAATTTCAGATATTACTCTGTTTTCTCTCAGTTCTTTATTCAGTAGGATGTATGAGTTTAACAGGTGGTGTTAAACTCACTCTCAGGCAGGCAAATCGCCCTGTGAGCTATGTGGTACCCATACTTGCTTACATTGTTTTACAGAAGAGTCTTTTAAGGGATGCGCTGCCTTTATTTTCAGTGAGGAATTATTGAGAATGGAGAAATTAAGGCCTTTTAAATATTTAATGGATGAAGGTTTTCTAAATTATTTAATAGCTTATTATAAAAGATGGCATAAAATGGTTTTGTAATTTATTCTTTACAGAAAGTAGCTGTAAGAAGAATTTTACAACATGTAAATATTGGTAGGAAAAGTACCTAATTTAAAATGCTATCTTATTCCAGCTGTCAAAGGAATTATACAGTGCCCATACACTTTTAAAATAACTTTAGACCTTTATTGTTTCTGTTCTTGAAATGCTTCTCTGGTGTAGGGAAATGCAATTTATACCCATTTTACTGGAGTGCAGAGGCACAGAGGCAGGTTGTGCTGGGACTGAGGCGCAGCAGATCTGACTATTGCAATTCTCTTTAGAATCCACAGTCGTGGTTTGGACACGTGGATGCCTTAAATACTGACACAGCAGAGTTGTGGGGTCTGGGGCAATTTAAATGCAGAGCAGGGATTATTCATGGTCAGCCCATGCATAAATACTGAGCGTGGAGCCCTTTGCCTCTCCCCCTTCCCCCATCCTCCATTTATTTTCTATAGCTTTGCTAGAGATGGAGGTGGGCATTCAGTTGCCTCCTGGCTAGAGCTTGTATAAAAACAACCCCTTTCTTCATAAGACTGCTTTCCTTGGGTAATTTCTCTTGTGTAAATTAGCCCTGCTGCACTGAAGTCAAGGACTTCAAAAAAAATCCAGTTGTCGTCAGACATATTGTAGTCTCTTAGAAGGTGACGCTGCTGTTTATTCTGTCTAAAGCGGCGCTCAGCTTGCTCATAGGTGGCCAGTTGAGGGGACTGGTGGCCAGTTGGGAGGGCTGGTGGCCAGTTGGGAGGGCTGGTGACCGCTGGTGGGAGCAGCTGCCCTCGAAGGCCATGCTGTCTCAGCAGAGCTCCTGGCACAGAAGGTCAGGAGTGATTTGCTTGTTTGTGCAGCCTGCACAGAAGCAGCTCTGCTCTCCAAAGTAACGCTGTGCCCTGAGATGAGGCAGGGACTGGCAGTGAAACCACTGATCACAAAATACACACAAAAACATGGTTTCACCCTGAGAAGCCTGGATTTCCTTTTACCATTATTAATCAGGTGAGCCTCTCGCTTCTGTTCTGATCTGCCTCCTTTATTGATGTAAAACAGCTGAATCTCTGACTTAAAGTAGCACTTAGGAGTTCACCTTGCAGTCCCCTCAAACAATCCTATTTTCTTAAGAGATATCACTGCCAGGAAAGCACCAGAAATCCCCAAGATGTGCTGGTGGCTGTATAATCTGCCACTTTTGCTGTATCCATTTAACTAGAATGAGTTAGAATAATCAATGCTTCCTTGTCTTTTACCAGTGTTTAACATGTGTTTACAGAACAGGTTACACTAAAGTTAGTATTTACCTGTAATTGCATCTTTTTTTCCTCTCTAATAAAAATTATGGAACAGATAAGCAAGAAAACCTGAGTTACTGTATTGCAATATTGATTTCTACAAGAGCATTGTAAGAATATATTTATTTATCTGTCCAATTATGAAATGGATAAAAATGTCCCACACAACCATTTCAGTCATTATTATATTGAAAAACCTGTTTGTTTGTTTTTTCTCAATAGGCCTTTCGAGGCAAACTGATTTTTTTTTTTTTTTATTATTTTATTTTATGTGTATTTGTGGAAGAAAAGACTAATACAGGATCATAGCACTGTGTACTAAGACATCTCTTTACCCACATTCTGTTTTGATTAGAACTGCTGCATTGCAATTCGGCTCACTCTCAAACTCTCCACAATGGAAAGAGAAGACAAAGTAAAATGTGATTAATTATAGATTGCTGGCCTGGTACCTCTTTAATTCCAGCAATTACTCTATTTTCTCATGGTGTTCTGAACATAAAGGAGCTGACTGTGTTGAGCCAGGGGCTTTCCAGTCCTAAGCTTCTGAAAGGTGTCTGCCTATGTGCTTTTATGACCCCAGAGATGCTTTGCCCTCCAATGCGATAGTGTAATTTTGTGTTTCTTAAAAGCAAATTTCTAATTGGTAAAAGGAAGAGTGTAATGAAGAGAGTGGTGGGAGAAGATGAGAAAAGTTTATTGTGATCACTCTGTAGGTAAAGATCACATTATTATTACTCTCACAAATTGCACTGTGCCATGTTTTCAATAGCAGAAGGTCAAGTTGAGCCCAGGGATAGAAGTAAGAGAACAAATATAAACAATAAAAGCAAAGCGACTTGAATGTCTATGAAATGGAGTGTTTGAGCTCATTATTCTGTGGAACGTGTCAGTATTGCTGCAAAAGTGTTTCCATACAGTGATTTCAAAGTGTAGCTTCTGGGTATAGGTGGGCTGGGTGTGAGTTGTGGTACTGGAACCAAGTAGAGACAAAAGTGTCAGAGGGTGCTATGATGCAGTAATCACACAGATATGATCCTATGGATGTGACCCTACAGAGCCCCTGCTCCTGAGGCAGCCAGGATCCAAGGGCCTTGACCAAATCTTAATGAAGATAATGAAAGATGTTTTCCCCTGTCTTTTAATAATCTCTGGTTCAAACTGTTGGAGGTTTCACATAATCATGTGGAAATCTGTTTGCACTATGGTGGTGTCTTAGACCTTACAGCTTTCACCGCATTAGGGTGGCGAGAGGGCACATGGTTATAAGGATACAGTGAGCTGTGCACATTATATTTATAATTTCTAGTATAGCAAATTCTGCCTTTAGTTAATGTAGTGATATTTCAGAGCTGCCTTATCACAGCTTCTCTGTGTTTTCGGAAATAAGTGAAAAGAGCAGTATGACTGCTGCCTTCTGCCTTGGATTGCACTGTAGATGGCACTGTGAAACAATGATTTTGGTAACAAAGATCTATTTCACAGCACCATTCCAGACGTTAATTGCAGTGTAATATGGCTTTCTTTCTAGGTCCCCAAAGCAAAGGAAAAATTCTGAAATGCAGAAAGGCTTATTTGCTGCCGCAAATGGGAATCTGGAATAACTATGAAAAACACACTGAAATAATTGTGTTTGGAACAAAATTCTTGCAAAGTCCCCAAGGTAAGAGCACTTTTTATCTTTCAAATGACACTGAAGATTTGCTGTGCTGGTTAGCAACAATATCCACTTGAATCCAACAGAGAATGAAGGCTTGACATTTCTGAAAGCAGCAGCCCACTGATGCTGAAGGACTCAGCACCCTTTGCTGCATGTGTCAGCCCAATTTCATTTTTCCCCCTGCCTTTTTAAAGATCCTTTTGTACTTATTTATATTAGCCAGCTGAAGACTTGTGTCCTGTCTACCTTCAAGGCAGACTAAAGTCCGCAAATGTTGTATCATTTTAATTGTACCGGATACTTTTAGCAGCCTTTCGGTTTGGGTATAACTAAGTTGATGCTTTGTAGTGATATGCTTATTCCTGGACTTGAATATCCTTACAAAGGGGTAAGGTCACCCTATTAACCTGATCAAACCTGGTTGCACATTCCTTGTCTGATATCAGGGCCATGTCTTCAAAAGAGTCAAACTCATAATCTGGGAAAGGTTTTGACATTAGATCATCACACAACCATCTCCACTGAGGCCAGCTTTGTTCCTGCACTGGGAATGGTGGGAACACCTGGGTTCACTTACATGCTGATATAGCAGCTGTTGAGCATGTGCTGCATGATTTGGGACCAAATACCTGTCCCTTCCATCAACTCACACCAGAAAAGGCATGCTCACAATGTCTGCTCTGTGGTATTTAACTCCAAGGGTTAAATCCTGCTCAGTCACACCTCAGGAAACCTGAAGGAAGATCCCTGTCTTCATTATGATATTACAGAGTGGCACCAGAGCTGGGGTCTCCACTGATATTTGGATCAGAGTCCTGTGTTTGCATTTAGAGCAACAGGGACGGTGTTGCAAGATGAGCAAATGATGACTTCCTATTTAGTGGTAACGGGTGCATGAGTTGTAAGCCATGTGTTTCTCATGGAGAGAGCAAGAAAACTAAGGTTAAATTTAACTCTCTCCTCAAGAAAATAAGGTTCAGTTACCTGGGGAAGATTTGGGTGACTAAAATCTCTAATGGTAGATTGATTTCAGAGTTTACTGGGCAGTTTCCTTAGGCTAATATTAGATCAACAGCAATAATAACATTTATGCCGGTTTCACAGTGATTCAATCCCATTAGCTGCAGTAGCATTATGTGGTTCAGCTGGGTGCAAGAGGTGAATTAGGTCCATGCTTATTTAGCTGAAGTGTAGCAGCTCTGAATTAGCCTGGGAGTGCTCCGTAAGAGGATACTTGTAAGGTAGGCAAGGACCAGTGATACCTTTATCTCCTGGGTTTGATTCACACTTGCCAGACTCCTACATACTGCTGCAAAAGACCCTTAGTGTGCTTCTTCCTGTACTGTGCCATTTGCATTCAGGGTAACAGCATATTGGGCTAGAAACAGAGCACCTCCTTAAAGCAAGAAAAGGATACATTTTTGCCAAATCAGTCCTTAAAATGTGGCTTCTTTACATGTAATTTTTTTTTTTTATTAATTCTGTATACATAGTGAGTAATTTTTTAGCAATATTTGTGTAGCTTTTTAAAAAAGTTTGTAGGCTGGAGTAAAATCTACAGGGACAGCTAAAGGTATTGTTTTTTCACCAATGTATTTTTTTCTCAAGTGTAAAATAGTGTTTGTTGGTAAAATATATTTACATAAAACAAGCTTTTGGTTTCTTAACTTTTGATAGTAATAAGTGCATTTGTGATTTGTTTGGGCTTTATCAACATTCCGATTTATACATAATGAGAGAACAAAATTGTGATCTGAAAGAGGGAAAATTTTTTAAGCACTTTTAAATGAGAAAACATGGCATCTGTTTTGGTTTCATTTGTAGATGGTTATCAAATTTAAAACAGGTTCAAGTGCTTAACCTGACTTTGACAGTAGATGTGTCTAAGGTGTGTGTTATGGGTTTTTTAAAAAAACCCCAACAATCAGTTTATTTGGCACTTGAATATTGCACTGGCTGAATAGTGTCAGGTATTTTAAAGATACACTGATAAACAAATTATTTAGAAATTACTTGGAAGAATCAGAACTGGAATCTGCAGAGGAAAGAGGTTCCCAAAGGACTTTGTGGTGCAAATAAGCATGCTTATGATAGACTTGGCCAAATCCCAGTGTGCTGATCAACTGCAGACTAACGTCACTGCTATGAAAGCAGTATTTAGTTCAATTTATGCAAATCTATAAATTGCCTTTACTTAATTTGATGTATTCCTGCTTACTGCATTTGCTGAAAGTGTGGAACATTGTATCTAAGGGTTCAATTGCATAATGCCCATTTATGTATAGCATGAGTAATAAATCATCATAACTGAGTTTAAGAAAATGATTAGATTACCTTTCTATATGATGAATGGCATAACATAAACTATTGAGGGATTTAATTGTAGATATTTGCTGCAAAATTACTGAGGATTTGTGGTCTTAGTTCTAAAGCTAACATGAATAAGACTAACAACATCCACCTTCTTCAGAACAAATGTTTTCTGAAAGGCAATTTCTAACAGCCTGGCAGTACAGCAAGTCCTCATGTATTTGACTGAGGTGCTGGTTTCATGAGTGTTTAACCCTCAGCAAACTTGCTGATCTCCGGGAAAGCTAGCAGATGTGTGCTTGGGAGATGCAGCCAAGTCATGTGCATGGCTACATGGGAGTTAGTAGCTTTAGCAAGTATGTCCTGAAAAGTATTAAGCAAAAAGGACGTTTTTCTGTGATGTTTCTATGACTTTGAGGCAGGTGCAGTTTAAAAATAGTAACATAACTTCCAAATATGTATATTTAAACTTGAGTGCAGACGGACCTTAATCCCACCTCTTATCTCAGTTTCATAGAAATATATTGCACTCATAATGTGTTGTTATAAATGTGGGTTTGGGCAATACAATATGTGATAACCATTACATTACTTCTAATTATAAAACATGCTTAACAAAGAATTGATCCCAACTAAACCATGAATATGATTTTGTTGGTGTTGCCTTGTAATGAGCCATGTTAGTTAATCTCCAGCATCTTTTCAGCTTTTCCTTCCCCACATCAATTTTATGTTATTCCTTACTCACATTGTTCTTTCACTCATCTGCTTCCTTTTCTGCCTCCAGGATGAGATTCTGTGCCAAATCAATGCTTCTATCTGACTGGCTCTTTCTGGTCTATGTGTTAATGGTCTGCTGTAAATTGTTGTCTGCCTCTAGCCACCATCCCCGGGGGCACACAGGTAGGAGCTTTTAAACTCATTATGTGCTACTGAGACCAATTAATACCACTCACAGAATGTTAAAGCTCACTTTTTAGCAATGGATAATTGATGAGGCTGTTGACAGCATGTTATAATCAGTGCAATGGGTTAAAAATCTAACAACAATAAGAAAAAATGAGTTATTGTAAATTTTCATGTTTTTTTCTCTAGTAATGTTATGTACTGAAGCTCACCAGACAGTTTTTGGAGTGACTTCATGACTGCTAGGACCTTGGGATTTGCTTGTGTCATTTTGCTTTATCCTTATCGAAAGATACTCTAAAATGTATCTTTATCTTCTCCCTCTTAATCCAGTTGTTATCAAGAGACTTTACAATGGTATCATTGGCGTTAGTGGGCAATAGATCAAAGCCCGCAGACTTACAGTAGCTAGCTCTTTCACAAAGTAACACAAATACTGAACTGTGGTTTAGTTCAGCTTGTGGTATGCTCCTTCTTTTCCTAACTTACATAGTGAGGCAAACAGTAAGATATCGCATTTAAGGGGATGTACTATCGTAGTAGGATATATCTTCCAGGAAAAATATAGTATCTTCTTATAAACGTGTCCTGGCTTGAGTGAGTGGTGGATGACGTGCGGAAATAGACTCCACAATCTGATAGATTGTAAAGTAGGTATGTTTATTCAGCGCTGAGGTACACAGGGGATAACTCCTCCTATTGTGTACCCAACGTATGGTGCTGTTACCTAAGATTTATAGAGCAAATGATTACATATTCATAATATTTCGCAATACGCCTATACATATGCAACACCTATCCCCGCTTCGTATTATAATTAGCATTTCCATAATCTCCTCCTAGTTGAGTCTGCGCAGTGTCTTCTGGTGGTGGTCGTGGGGGTCTTTGGGGATGAAGTCAAGCTCCTCTTCCTCCTGTCCGCTCTGTGACCCCAGGTTTTGCGCAGACTCAGTTTCTTACTGGCTGTTGTCCAAACCGCGGGTCTAGTTCCAACCGGCTTAGTACTGATAAAGCCTAGAGAGCTCACCGTGTTTTACAAACTGTCTGTTCACTAAGCAGAACTGTTAACCGTTATCTAAACTATTTCCCTTGAACTATTTTCTTTTGTTATCCCCTTCTTGCTATTATCCCCTTCTTGCTATTCTCATGTTAACCCTTACATCCCCTGTTCCTATCTTGGCCCTGTATCAGTGGAGTTTTTTGGTGGCAGGGGAGGGGGCTATCAGGGCAGCCCCCTGTGAGAAGCTTCTCGAAGCTCCCCCAGCTCCACGTCAGCTCCACTTCTGTTTGGGAAATTGAGCCCATCAGCTGCGCCTCTGCGATAACGTATTTAAGAAGGGACGTGGTGACGTGCAGTGGGACTTGTGAGGAGGAGTTGCTGCAGCTGCATGAACACCAAGGTCAGTGGAGGAACGGAGGAAGAAAGGAGGGGGGAGGTGTGCTGGAGCAGAGACCCCCCTGTATCCTGTGATGAGATGGCAGGGCGGCCCCCCCTGCCACCCATGAAGATCTACGGTGGAGCAGACATTGATTTGTGGCCTGTTGCTCCTGCTTGGATTACCAAGGTTCTGTGCCCGAAGAAGGCCGGGGTCTCATGGGAAAAGGTAGCCCCGCTGCTGTAATTCAGCGCTGGGAGGATTGCAGCATGCGGGGGAGTCCCACGCCGGAGCAGCTCGGGAAGGGCTGCAGCCGTGGGAGGGAATCCAGTTGGAGGAAGTTAGTGACCCATGACGGAGCAGTGTGGGGAACGCTGCGGCCCGTGGGAGGAACTCATGTCGGAGAAAGTTTGTGGAGGACTGTCTCCTGTGAGAGGGGGACCACGATGGAGCAGGAGGAACAAGTTCCGGACACTCCCCTCACCGAAGATGAAGAAAGTGGCAGCACTGACTGCACCCCCCATTCCCTGCCCCTGCGCCACTGGGGGAGGAGGTAGAGATATCGGGAGCAGAGCTGAGCCCGGGAAGAAGGGAGGGGTGGGGGGAAGGTGTTCTCAAGATGTGGCAATGCTTCTCACTGTCCTACTCTGTTATGTGTGGTTAGTGTCTGTAATAAATGTATGTTCTTTTTCTTCCCCTAACGAGTCTGCCTCTTGCTCGTGATCATAAAGGGGAAATTTTTCCCCATCCCAGTCCTATCTCGGACCCCAAGCCTGGCTCTCTGTCCCTTCTCATTGCCGGAGGGGAAGGGAGAGAGAGCTGCTGCGTTGTGGTTGGCTGCCAACCAGGCCTAAACCACGACAAAACGACAGAAATAGCTCAGAATAAGCTGGGTTGGCTTCGTGAAGAGATACCATACTGGATCTTTGAGGAAACATCTCTGTGCTAGTATCATGCACACACATCAGTTTGAAAGCAGAAAGAAATATAGATGTATTGATGCTAATGCAAAGATATCAGTGCAAGTCCTAAAACTGGATAGCTGAGTTAGCCCATGTCACCTTTGATCCCAAAAGAGAGAGAGGTAAGTTAACAAAATACAAACTGTGAGCTCTGCTTCTTAGAAGAGGACAAAGGCCTGGCTGCAACACCACGATGAAGTGACTGCATTCTCAGTACTTGGTTAGCTTCATGCTGGCTTGGGGATTTCTACAAGTGTTGCTATTTGTGATGCGTTCTCATTCTTAAATTAGTTGTAATGCCTTAAATCCATATGCAATGTTCTTAGCTCTGAGCCAGACTCTTGTGGGTCCAGGTCTAATGTTAGCATCCACTTCAGCTTGGCACTAGGAAGTGGGGATGCATTTGTTAGGGGCTCCATCCTCCAGATGAGACGACCTATTGATTTCTTTCCCGGCTGCTTCCGGTGACTGTCTAGGTAGGAGCTGAAGGCTCCTCATGTGCTCACCAAAATCTCTTCAGGCCTGGCAAGCAAGACTGACTGTGCACATAACTGCTGTGTCTGTCTATGTGCTCATAGCACAGCAGCAGTGGTGTATCTAAGAGCTATACAAGCTATCTCCTTGCCCTACCCCATCACCAGCTCTGTGTTCCCCCGTGCTGTGCAGCGCTCATAAGTGTTTGCCATAAAACACAGTCCCAGGTTATGGAGAATAACCGACATCTTGCAGCAAAAGCCCATAAAGTGATTCCGGTGAACACAGTGTTAGAGGATCATCCTTATTACCATTTTTCAGGTAGCTGTTATGGAAACTAGTTGAATCACTTCAATGAGGAAGGGGATCTATGCACAATGACAAGTTAATTAGGCTCTCTTGACCTTTCCGGTAAACAACTGCTGCTTAGCAGAGCATTTCAGAGCTGACTATGCAGCAAAACCTGGAGAACAGCCTTCTGCAGCTTTTGACATTCAGGGAAGAGTCTTGTAAAAAGAAACATTATTTTTGTCTTTTAAAGGTGTACTTTGCTTGTATACCTAAGGGAAATACCTGTAATAAGGCAGTAGTGATCCTGTGTTGTGGGCTCGTGTGATGAACACTCATTATGTGTTATGTAAATTATGACAATCTTTCTAACATAACATTTCAGAATGCTTGACTGCATACTTTTAATTGACACCAAGAATTCTTTCCCCCATATCAAAGAGGCAGTGTAAAACACAATCAAGCTGTTCGGCTGTTAAGCAGATTTGTGTACCATGCTTTCTCTGGTAGGCTAAAGAAATGTTCTTCTCTTCATGAATAGTTTGGTCAGACTATGGAGCTCTTTTTCAGACACCCTTGAATCCGGAGCCTTCATGCAACTTTTTAAACTATGGTGTTACATTCTTCCCCAGACATGAGTTTCTTCTATGTGTTCACTGATGTGACCCCCTATCCCACTTTGATTCTGTGTAGCAGATGAAACAGTTACTGCATTTTTGATTCTCCATCTCCTCATGTCTGACATGTGGCACTATAGAGTATTTAGAGCACTTGGGGGACTCTCCTCAAGGGGCATGTGTTTCCCAGCCTCATCTTATCTTTGCTGTTTGATAGAATACCTAGATTGTCCTTCTAATGTATGATCACATCTGTGATGGAATCTGATATGTGAGCAAGACAGTGCTTTGTTCATCAGGAAAGCAAATAATTTAGAGCGCTTAGTGTCGCCTGTTTTGTGGAAAGCAAATAATTAACTTAATTTGTTTAATACAGATTATCATGTTCTTAGATGGCAGTTGAGAGAATTTTTGAAATCAATAGACACTGTTAACATTTTTCAAAGTAAAATGTCCTGAAGCACATTAGAGGAATGAGTTCAAGCTTTGGGTTTGGGAAAGGCTTTGTCTGGTGTCTGTCAGGTCAAGCAGCTGTAACCTGAGAGATATGTATTGAGGTGTGAAATAAATGCTGTTTATGAGGTGCCTAGCCTGGGATACTTCAGGAGGGAGTTGGATTTTAAGAACAAGTGTCTGCTCCTGAAAAATGGTGTGTTTCAAGCTGTGCACTTGACATCACTAGTCGCTTTTCAAAAAATGTTTGCTCATTAAAGGTAAGAAAGTTTATTAACCAAGAGCAGACACTAGAATTTAAGATGAAAAGTGGGGATTGACTTTTTTCTTTTCAACATACTGCCATTTTTAAGGAGCCTAATAAGGGAAAAGACAATTATTGACTTTGGTCACGTTAGATGGTACCTGCATTCAACAGCTGTCTCTGCAATATTCAGACAGGAACAGAGACTAGATCTTTAAGGACCCAATAACTATCCTGTTTCTGAAAAGTGGGAGAGAGTGCCATTGAGCAATCTCTTTGACAAGAAGGGCCTCTTCACTGTAATAAAGTATAAGACAGACTTGGTTCTTTCTTTTGTTCTGCAAAATATTCACCACCATCAAATAACTGTTAGTGGAGAAAGAGACTGTTCAATCTAGAAAACCCATCCTGCCATTGCTTTGAAGCAGCTTGGATCTTGAGCCCAGCTTGGAGGCCACAGCCTATTTTTCATTCAAACGGTGTAATTGCTTTGACTGGCAGAGATAACTAGGCAAAAGGTAGAGGAGAAATGTTCCTTCTCATTACTGTTAGATCACTGAAGATGCTGCTTATGCAGATTATT